GGGTAGCTTTGTGTCAGTGACGAGGAGGCAGAAGAAGAGATGCCGAGCAGCCACTTTATGGGTTCATTGTCAACTCCGAAAGTTGACGTCGCGATTGACACGGGCAATCCTTTTCTCAATGCCTCCGTTGATGGGTTCTTGAAGATCGGAACTGTGAGTGTTTCCCTTTTTTGTCTTCTGGGTTTCCATCTTCTTTCCAAATTAACCTGGGTTCTGTATCAGGTTGCAGCCACCAGGGCACTGGCGGAGGAGGTATACCACGCTGTAGACAAAGGTTCATTTCTCACATTAATTTTTGTTAAAAGTGTTCACTGTTTCCGATTTGGGTTATCAAATTTTTGTTTGATTTGGTTTGAAATTCTTGCTAATAGACTTTAAATCTCGTAGAATATTTCTTTATTCGTCTTTTCCGTGATTCTGTTTATATATATTCATGATTGCATGTATTTGTATAATGTTATGGTTGCGTGATTTTTGCAGGAAACCTTTCAAGTCGCAGTGTGGAGCATGCGGTATGCATCAATAAGTAAAATTTGCTTTTTTTAATTGAAACCATGGCATAAGCTGGAGAGATTAGATTTCCATTGAGCGTCCAATAGGTCTTAGATGATGAATATGATACACAATGTTTGACCTCTTTTGTTGCTTGTGGAAAATGTTGTCTTTGCAGCTCAAGAAGATGTGTAAAGAAGGTGCTTATTGGGGTAAGCCGTAAGCATACAATGCTTGGCGTTTTCCAACTTGTTTCTTACTAGTCCTTTGGTTAATTGCTTTGGCATTCTTTGTTGCACTAATAGGAACTGTGGCTGGAGTATATGTTGGAATGGAGTATGGAGTAGAGAGGGTTCGCGGCACCAGTGACTGGGTATGTTGTTGTTACTTGTTTGTTGTTACCTAGAATTTCTTCAGTTCAAGCATTAAGGATTAGTGGAGAGCAAATCTTGCTTCTATGAAAAAGAGTTACAAATTCTTTTTTAGTTTTTCACTCTTAAACAACCTAGGCTTTGGCCAGGAGATTTGTCCAAGAAAAAAGGTTCCATTTTTCTTGATGAATCTGGGAGACAGTTTTAAATAAAATACTGCTTTACTGAGATGAGAGTTCATGCTTTGGTACTGCAAAATATTTTGTTGCTAGAGGGATAGATTTCAAAGATAATTTCTCATGTGTGTCTAAAGTTACTCTTTATGCATGTTATATTAATACTTTTTAAATTGTTGCCTTATAATCTTATATTCTTCCCCTTTTGGATGACTAGCAGAAAAATGCAATGATAGGAGGTGCTATCACGGGGGCACTGATTTCTGCAGCAAGCAACAAGAGCAAAGACAAGGTTGTGATTGATGCCATCACAGGAGGTGCCTTGGCAACTGCTTCAAAGTTTATCAACCATCTCACCTGAAAACTGGAAGCTGATTTTGCTGCGTGTTCTTTAGGAATTACCATGTATCATGCCCCTCTTTTCATTTTCATCATGCAATAATCTAGTTGTAGAAAGACAGGCAGTTGATGTGATGAAATGAAACTGATAAGAATAATTGTGGTGCTAGTTATCTTTTCTTTCCTTCAAGAATCTTTGTGTAGATGTGTGGGATTTTTGAGGAAACAAGATGCATTGTTCACGTACATAATGTGAGTAAATGTTATTTTCTGCTTCAAAAGGAATAATCTCATGCAGCCAACGGTAAGCAGATTTGCGTGAACTAAAACAAAGAGAAATTGAGCACATCTAGCAGCATTAGAAGAGACTCATGTGATCTGTAACTTAAAGATCTAATTTTCCATACCTTTTTGATAATTGAAACATTGAAACAAAATCTGTCATTTTTTTAATCGTCGACTACGGTACAAAATTTTCGCCAGAAAAACTATGGTACAAATTTCCAGCTTCTAGGAACAAGAATCAATTGTAATGAATAAGTACATGGTGTACATGGCCATCAATCATGAGATCCAGTTCCAAAATGTTCAATAAGTTTTAGTAAGCTATATGTTTCAGCGTCTGGCCTAGCTCCTCCAAGAATCATCCTTTTCAAAAGATTGGGATCATAAATTTTAGCCCTAACATAAGCCTTGACCAAGGTGTTGTAAACAAAAGTAAACCTGATATACTTGGCTTCTTTCAGTTCTTCAAACAATTTCTCAGCATTCTTGACATCACCCTTTTCTGCAAATATCTCAATCATTGAGAGGGTGGTTTCCAACCACGGAGTTGAATTTCTTACCCTTTTGCTTGTCGGCAGATTCTTACCCAAATCTAGTGTCTTCAAGCCTTCTGCCAGTAATCCTGCTTTTAGACATCCCAAAGCAAGATGTCTATAAGTAATGGAGTTTGTTTTGCAACCATTCGTCTTCATTTCTCTGTAAATTCTAGTTGCTTTGTCAATTAATCCATGTTTGCAATACACAGATATCATAGAATTGAACTGATCTGTTGATTTCAACCCTTTCTCTGACTTCATTTCCGACCAAAGTTCTTCAGATCGATTTAGCTGCCCAATTCTACCCATTGCTTCAATTGCTACCATATAACTTTTAGGCCTAACACAGGGGAACTCTTTTACAACCTGCCAAGTTCTCTCTAGTTCCCTTTCCTTTCCCAAATATCCATACAACATAATTAGAACGTCTAAGGTTGACCAGTTATTTCCTGTCATAGCCTTCTCTACAGCCTCAACATAGGCTTCAGCCGCAGTATACAATCTTGCCACCACATGTGCCGTAGCTAATATGCAGTAAGATATCTCATTTGGCTCAACTTCTGCTTTCTTCATATCATTGAAAACCTTTACCAAGCCTTCAACATTGTGTTCATTGGCCTCTATTTTCATGAGAATATTGTAGGTAGAGATATGTCGCACCACCTTATCAGCCTTCATTTGAAGGAGGATTTTTGGAATCATTTTCCTGCGGCTTGGAGTTGAATGGAGGATTATGAGACGGTTGAAAACCAAGTGTGAGATCGGATGACTTAATTCCCTCATTTTCTTCATGTACTCAAGTGAAAGCCTTATCACCCCTTTATCCAAACATGCAATCACAAGATTGTTGTAAAGCAACTCATTCTGGAGGTCCCGAGGGACACGATTGAAAAGTTTCTCCCCTTCTGATATTCCATGGATTTTAGTGGTAAATTCCAACAGATAAGAATAGTCTAATTCCTTGGGTCTGTAGGGTCTCTCTCTAATCACCCATTCCATCACCTATCAAAAGTAGCCAATAATCATAATTAGTTTCATCAACTGATCTAATTTAGAAGGCTAAGCACAAAAGGTAGCAATAGTAAGAAATAAAAAATATCAGTTCACAAATGTCAGCATTCAGAGCATTCAAGAAAAGTAAAACACTTCATCCCACAGAGCCTGTGAAAAGCATTAGACATTACTCTATGCATCTTAACAATCCAAGCAAACAACAGACCCACAAAAAGTTAGACATTACTTTATCCATTTCCATAATACATACAAGCAACAAACCCACAAAAAAA